GTCGGGTTTGAAGACTAAACATAGAGATTCCAGTAAAACACCCGGGAGCTCGGACTTGTTTGGAAAAGTCAAGGCAGGGGCTGCCGCCTTTGGCAGGGTCCCCCAAGAGGCCCCCGACCTGTCGGAGAAGCCTCCTTACAGACCTTCCAACCAAGTCCCGTGCTTCCCCACAGCATTAGAATTCCAGCTCATGTCCATGTTAGGCTCCCGGAGCGGCTCAGTAACGAGCATCCTTCTTCCTGAGCAAGTTGACAATTCTGACCAGGAGCAGCAGGTGGAGGCTCAGCCAGGCCTAGCACCCAGCCGCAGTCAGCCTTGGACGAGGGTCAGCTTGGCCATGAAGGCGCTTGTCCAGGCACAGCGTGTGGGGGCTGGGGTGGGATGGCTTTCCCACGAGGAAGATACGAGGAAGAAGCTGAATATGTATCTCAATCTCCCAATCGGGTCATTCACCGCCCCTCTTGAGCAGGGCATGGAAAGGTCTAGAGCAGCGGTTCTCAACCTTTGGGTCGCGACCCCTTTGGCGGTCGAACGACCCTTTCACAGGGGTCGCCTAAGACCATCCTGCACATCAGATATTTACATTACGATTCATAACAGTAGCGACATGACAGTTATGAAGTAGCAACAAAAATAATTTTATGGTTGGGTCACAACATGAGGAACTGTATTTAAAGGGCCAGAAGGTTGAGAACCACTGGTCTAGAGACAGGCAAAGTTGTGTCACACCACAGAGCACCCTTGAACCTGGAAGTGACGTCAAGAATGGGGCAGAAGCCCTGGCCGGTTTGGCTCAGTAGATAGAGCATCAGCCTGGGGACTGAAGGGTCCCGGGTTCAATTCCAGTCAAGGGCACATGCCCAGTCTGTGGGCTCAATCCCCAGTGTGGGGCGTGCAGGAGGCAGCCAATCAATGATTCCCTCTCATCATTGATGTTTCTATCTCTCTCTGCCTCTCCCTTCTTCTCTGAAATCAATAAAAATGTATTAAAGAAAAAAAGAATGGGGCAGAATTTCCTCATAGTACCCATATCCTGTCTGCTTTACCTTCAAATGTCTAGTGTTTATTGCCTGCCTTTCCCACTAACATGTGAGCTCTGTGAGGGAGGATCACTGTGTCTCTCCACTCTTCTCCATCTCCAGGGCTCACACCCAAGTTGAAGCCACCATCATCTTCATGAAAGCCCTAGTCATTCATAGATTGATTGATTGATTGATTGATTGATTGATTGATTTCAGAGTGGAAGGGAGAAGGAGAGAGAGATAGAAACATCAATGGTGAAGGAGAATCATTGATAGGCTCCCACCTGCATGCCCCCCACTGGGGATCGAGCCCACAACCCCACCAGAAGAGCGTTGTCTGGTGCCTGGGAGCTGGCTTGGCCTTCACTGGACAGCCCATCAGTCCAGGGCATCAGTCACCCCTGGGGCAGCTCTCAACTCCAGTGGGATGAGAGTTCCCAGGAGGGTTCCACACAGCCCCTCCGAGGGCCCCGTGACACTGCGCTCAGCTGCCCATGGCTCTGACCTGCTCATTCGGGTTTTCTGATGGGCCTTCCCCTTTCACTGACCCTGCTCCCTCGTTCCTGCTTCCGGGGAACCCTCCCGAATGAATGTCTCGCATCCTTGTCTCAGCTTCGGGCTCGGCGTTGGGGGACCAGAGGGTTTCGGCTCTCGGGTCCCCCAAGTTCTCTGATTCCTCATGTGACCGGCGAACCTGCCACCTGGGCAGTGGGTCATCTTCTACTTCACGTCGGAGACCCCAGTATCTCTTGGGGAAGGTCAGCCTTCTTCCTTGTCAATCCTGGGGTGTAATCACAGCCAGCTGACCCACTGAGGTACATTCTTTTGCTCTGAGTGCAAGTCTAATTGTATTGATGAACTAGGGCCCCGCTGCTCAGCTCATTGATTAATGCCGTCAGCCAAGATCTCAGGAATGAAAGTCAATGAATTGACCACCAAGCAGCCTGTGTAGGTCAGCAGGTCCAATAACCGACCCCTTGCGCTGGCGATGAGAGAAAGTATGTAGATCCTTTGTAGTGACTGTGCTATATCAGTTCGAGAACTTGCAGGCATTTTAATTGTAAGCTTTTAGGCTGTAAGTTACTGCTTAAAATTGTCTTTAGCGCTTACTAGGAAGCAGGCACGGAGCAAAGAACTTCCCATAGATTATTTCCTCTAATCTTTGTAATAACTGTTTCACTCTCAGAAGTGGAAAGAGATTTTAATAAGTTAATCCTATGTCCAAGGTTTCACAGCTAATAACTGGCAGAGCTGGGTTTCGTCTGCCTTACTGCAAATCCTCTGCTCTTTAACATTTCTCTTTGCTCTTTAACAAGTCAAGTGTGAAAGAATAATACTTGATAGAGATTCTTTGTGTTTAACACACACATACACACACACACGTACGTTTTAAAGCTAGCAAATGTTGGGATTGCACTTTTTAGTAGCTTATTCGAGGGGAACTACAGGTATTTCTTTTAAAAGGTGAAGTATTGCTCAGTGGTTGAGCATCGACCTATGAACCAGGAGATCATGGTTCAATTCCTGGTCAGGGCACATGCCTAGGTTGTGGGTTTGATCCCCAGTGTGGGATGTGCTAGAGGCAGCCGCTCAATGATTTTCTCTCATCATTGATGTTTCTATCTCTCGCTCCCTTTCCCTTCCTCTCTGAAATCAATAAAAATATATATTAGAAAATAGAAGGTGAAATATTGTTCCTGAATTGAAAGAGAAATTTTGATGATCCCATTAAGTTTGGAGAACAAATACATATAATTAACAAAAACAGCCAGAATTCTATTTTAAAATCTACTAACAATGTCAAAGGCTTTTTCTTATGTGTATTCCACCTCAGCTCCCTGGACTTACCGTTCAAACCATTTGTCATTTATCTCAGAGTACCATGAAAAGAAGCATGAAAAGATTTTTTTAAAATATATATTATTTTTTTTATTGATTTCAGAGAAGAAGGGAAAGGGGCAGAGAGATAGAAACATCAATGATGAGAGAGAATCATGGATCGGCTGCCTCCTGCATGCCCCCTACTAGGGATCGAGCCCGCAACCCCTGGCAGGTGCCCTTGACCGGAATCAAACCCAGGACCCCTCAGTTCGCAGGCCGACGCTCTATCCACTGAGCCAAACCAGCCAGGGCCATGAAACGATTTTTGCTGTCTTGTGTCTGTACATTCAGCCTTTCCCCCTTGTTATGAGACATCAGAAATAGTGCCACCGCCTTTGGGCACAGTTCTCTCAGAGCCAGCCTGCTGGCATCCCTGGGACTTAGCCAAAGGTGGATGTTAATGAGGTCTGTTCACTCCTCTCGTTGCCTGAGAAGCAAGCACGGAGCGAGGGCTGCTGTCCCGTGGAAATGAGTCCTGCCTGGATGCTCATTACATCTGCCCCTGGAGAGAAGCGGGCTGTTGGTTGTTAGAGGAAATGAAATGATAGGTCACAGAAACAAGCCCAGTTATTTCTACGCTGATTTCTAGAAGCTTTTTCTACGGGGGCGTAGGAAGCAGGCGCCGAGTCGCTGCAGGGACGGTCCAGCTTTCCTGGTCATTTGGGAGGAGGCGGGCAGGGCCTTTGTTCTGGACATTCATTACCCAAACCCAAGCATGCCCCCCAGAGCAGCTCCTCTATTTTTACTTTTAGTACAAATTCATCGTTGACGCGGTTACTTAGTAAAAATCAAATAATAATAAGTGTGGTCTTCGTTGGCTCCCAGGAATTGCTTTTCCCTCCTCTGCCGGCCTTCCCGGTACTTCTTCTGTCTCCTTCGCCTGCCCCACTTTCTCTACCAACCAGAAGGGATTAGATGCTTCCCGAACTTGGCTTTGACCCGATTCTCTTCTCTTGAGAAATCTCTCTTGCGGATCTTATCCACTTCTAAGGCTTCAAAAGGGGGAAATTTGTTATAAGAATGTGTGTGAAACAGAAAGAAAAAGGAACAGATGATGCTTTATCCATCGGACGAGCACATAACCCTTTCTGTGCCGGAGACCCCTTTGTCAGTCTGAGGAACCCCATGGCCCCCTTCCTTGGAGAATGGTCTTTTAGTTAAAATACATAGAATTGCAAAGGAAACCAATCATATAGAAATAAAGTTATAAAATATCTCGAAGAAACAGAATTGTGGCGTATCTGTAATAATAAAAGCGTAATATGCTAATTAGACCAGACAGCTGAACCACCTTCCAGACGTCATTCCGGACATCCTTCTGGATGAACCCGCGGCGGAGGGAGGAGGCAGAGGTGGTTAGGGGCAATCAGGCAGGCAGGTGAGCGGTTAGGGGCGATCAGGCAGGCAGGTGAGCGGTTAGGGGCGATCAGGCAGGCAGGCGAGCAGTTAGGAGCCAGCGGCCCCAGATTGCGAGAGGGATGTCCGACTGCCGGTTTAGGCCCGATCCCGCAGGGATTCCTACGTGATTGGGCCTAAACTGGCAGTCAGACATCCCCCAAGGGGTCCCGGATTGCTAGAGGGTGCACGCCAGGCTGAAGGACCCCACCCCATGCACGAATTTCATGCACCTGGCCTCTAGTTCATCAATAACTCATGAAATAACAAGATCTGATGACCGGAATCGAACCCAGGACCCTTTGGTCCGCAGGATGACACTCTTAGTAACTGAGCCAAACCGGCTTGGGCTACAAACATATTTTTAAAAAGAAATATATTATCAGGGGAAGATGCTGGAGCAGAAAGCTCTAAATTTTTTTTTTCAAGGCTAGTTTGAAACTGGACATGAGGGACATATACCATGATTTTATGAAACACGATTACTAACAGAAAAAAACAGAGCCTAAACTCTTAGAACACAGTAGATTAACAGAGGGGAAATGCCAAGACGTCTTTGGTGGAAACTGTAAATTATGAGAAACATGTACACCCAGGAAGAGGAAAGAGTATTTTTCAGATGTCTCCGCATGTGTGTATGAAGATCTAATGCTTCCAATTTGACTAGGTCTTGTTTGTTTGTTTTTCAAAATCTTTCCTAAGAATCGCCCTGGTGGAAAACATCCCTGCAGGCCTTAACTATTCGGAAAACGCACCGTTTCACCTGTCACTCTACCAAGGCTGGATGAACTTACTCACCATGGCCCAAAAGTCGGTGGACATCGTGTCTTCCCACTGGGATCTCAACCACAGTCACCCATCGGCGTGTCAGGTAAGCGCATCCCCCAGGGCATGGGCGATGGTTTTACTGGGGTGCACTCGACACGCCTTAGTACTCCGGCCTCCGCTTCTCAAGTGCAAGCTCATGTTTTTAGTCTACTGTCCCCCGTAGTCCATGGACATCACTGCATGTGTGTGTGTGTGCTGTTGCTCATCACATGTTGCTCAGCTCCTGCTAGAACACCTGGTTTTCAAGGGCAAAATCATGTTTCGTGTTTGCATACCAGACGCTCTCTATACGGAGTTGTTGTATTGGGCAACTTCAGGGGCACCATCAGCATCATGGTGCCTGTGGCTGGCACGTCCCGGAATTCATCTTGGCACAACATGCGTGTTTACGGTTCTAATTCTGTAACCGCTTGCCGGGGCGTTTGGTTGGTTAATTGGTGTCATAATTTGTCCCCAGGACCCAGGGCCAACTTTTTTAAATAGTTCTCTTCAGGCCACCAAGTTTACCATTTCTAAAAAAAGAAGGTACTGCCCTTGCTGGTTTGGCTCAGTGGATAGACTGTCGGCCTGCGGCCTTAAGGGTCCCAGGTTGGATTCCTGTCAAGGGCACATGCCCAGGTTGCGGGCTTGATCCCCAGTAGGGGGCGTGCAAGAGGCAGCCCATCAATGAGTCTGTCTCATCATGGATGTCTCTATCTCTCTCTCTCCCTCTCCCTTCCTCTCTGAACTCAATAAAAAAATATTTTTATAAATAAATAAGAAGGTACTGGCTGAAAGCCTATTTGATTTAAATTTTTACCTAATTAGAAGGACTCAAGCATTGATACTTTTTAAGAGAGGACTGGGGGATCCATTGGGCAGGCAGGATTGAGAATCACTGCCTTCAACCACTACAGTCTAACAAACATCGTTTGCTTTTTATAAATTTCAAGACGAGGGCCAGGTTGGTCCCCTCCCCCATCCAGGTTGTCAACCTGATTTTGCCTGTTTCAACTTAATCCCATTTTTTCCTCCTGTCCTCTGGGTGATGATGTGAAAGGCCGGCGACTTGACTTTGAATATTACACATATGCCTGGACGCTGGGGCCGGCGTCCTATTAATTCTTACAACTTTATCCTGGCACGTGGCCAGGAAGAGAAGGGGTTGCTTGTGGATTTGAAACAGATTTCCCTTCTTCAGCCTTCTCATCTCCAGGCTAAATATTATTTCAGGCAAACTGGTGCAGTGTCAGTGTGAAAATTGCATAACCTAATGGAAAGAGTGTCCCCTTCTTTCAAAATAGCATATTTAGCCACAGCCGGTGTTGCTCAGTGGATAGAGCGTGGGCCTGTGGACTGAAGGGTCCCGATTCCTGTCAAGGGCACATGCCCAGGTTGCGGGCTTGATCCCCAGTAGGGGGTGTGCAGGAGGCAGCCGATCAATGATTCTCTCTCATCATTGATGTTTCTCTCTCTCTCTCCCCCTCTCCCTTCCTCTCTGAAATCAATACAAATAAATTTTAAAAAATAAATTAAGTTAAAAAATAGCATCTCTCCCCAAATTCAACACTCAGCAAATGCTTATCAATTGGCATTCTCCTGTTTGAAACCTGGTTGCGACATCCTTTTGAATGTGCCTTTATTGAACAAATATTTATGAAGGGGCTGAGCTATTGCTGGGGATACAACACCGAGTAAGCATGGTCCCCGCCCCTTTCTGCACAGTGTAGTGGGGAAAGCACAGAAAGCGATTGGTGGGAACACCGCGGGGGGCGGGGCCTGCGGGCTGGGGGCGGGGCCTCTGGCTTGGCCTCTCTGCTCCTGTGAACTCCTGTCCTCCCTCAGTGCTGTTCTTTCTGGCTCCGTTGCTGCTGCGGCTCCAGGCTCCCATCTCCCCATCTGTTGAGCAATCCTAATTACGCTCTTGCTCGCTTCCCAGTACATTTCCAAGGGAAATCAACATTCTGCTCTGCACTCATAAGCACTATGATTAGCAGGAGTTTAACCTCTTTAATTTTTTTTTAAATCCAGTCACATGGACATGAATAAATCATGAAGCCAGACCGTCTTCCCAGTTATTTGGATTAAATAATGAGTTTTGTTTGAAGTTGTTTACTATCTGCTTGATTGGTTTCCCTCTGGATCTTCATCTCTACATTTGCCATTTCCCTAAGGTCTATTTATGATTTTGAAACTTTCTTTTTAAAAAGAATAGGTTGAGCCCTAGCCGGTTTGGCTCAGTGGATAGAGCATCGGCCTGTGGACTGAAGGGTCCGGGGTTCGATTCCGGTCAAGTTGCAGGCTCGCTCCCTGGCCCTGGAGGCAGCCAATCCACGTGTCTCTTTCACAGCGATGTTTCTCTCTCTCTATCTCTCCCCCTTCCTTCCACTCTCTCTAAAAATCATTGGAAAAATATTCTTGGATGGGGATTAACAAACAAAAAGAATAGGTTGGATTTTTTTTCTCTCATTATCACAGTATTAGCTTCTTACTATAGAAAGTTTGGAAACTACAGAGAAATGGAAGAGAAACAAAATTATCCGTCTCACCATCAACAAAAAATGTTTTCATAGTTTGACATTTTATGCAGTAGATCTTCCCCCTGTAATGTGTCTGTTCTGTTTCCAGAATCTTTATTTAGCAGGTGCATCAAACACAACTCCACACTGTATTGCTCCGTCACTTGCATCTTCTCCCCTTCATCCTCCTTGATGGTGATTGGTGTTACTTAGCGTTTGATTAGGGTCCATCCTTGAATGTATTCCTCAGAGGGGTTATGTGGGTAAATAGTCTCTAAATCCTATATAATAAAAGGGCAATATGCAAATTGATCCTAACAGCAGAACAACTGGGAATGACTGGTCACTATGACACACACTAACCACCAGGGGGCAGATGCTCAATGCAGGAGCTGCCCCCTGGTGGTCAGTGTACTCCCACAGGGGGAGCTCTGCTCAGCCACAAGCCAGGCTGACGGCTGCCAGTACAGCGGTGGTGGTGGGAGCCTCTCCTGCCTCCTCAGCAGCGCTAAGGATGTCCGACTGCAGCCTAGGCCTGCTCCCGCTGGCAAGTGGACATCCCCCGAGGGCTTCCGGGCTGCCAGAGGGATGTCTGACTGCCAGCTTAGGCCCGTTCCCCCGGGGAGCAGGCCTAAGCCAGCAGGTGGACATCCCCCGAGGGGTCCCAGACTGCGAGAGGGCACAGGCCGGGCTGAGGGACCCCCCCAAGTGCACAATTTTTTGTGCACTGGGCCTCTAGTCTATAAATAACTGCATATATTTCTTTCATTCACCCTCGTAAGCGAAATCCTTGCCTGGGCTTCAGTCTTCTTCTCCCGTAATCTGAGTTAATTTAGTGTCACAGCTGGTTGGCTCCATGCCACTCTGATCTAGTTTCCTTGATAGGTAAGTGTTTTGTTTTTGGCCAGAAGTTTGTCAGAATTCCTTTTTCTCGTTGCTGTGGAGTCGTTTTGGAGGATATGCTTAGATGTGTCTTTCCACATCCCGTGAGCCTCCATCTTGGATTATTTTTTCAACATGGAGGTCTTTTCCTCAAGTTGAACCATTCTTCTTCTGTTATTTGCAAACTTATTCTTTTTGCCTCTTTTTCTCTCCAATGCACCCATCAGTCACATGTCCTATCTTTGCGATTTATGCATCACCCTAAACGCCTGTCACCCTTGTTTTCCTGCGCGCTCCAAAGCTTTAGGGGTTCCATCCTGGCCTTCTCTCTTTTCTAAGATCGATTGCAGAAATCACCTCTCTTCCTCCACAAACCTCCATTCCCTCTTCTCAGTCTCCAAGTCCTTTCTGTAGAATCACCATCAACAGCCCATTCTTATTGAAGTAAGATATGACTTTGCCACTTGGGGGCCAGTAAGACCAAAGCCTTCTTGCCTGTCCGGCCCCTGAAGGCATTTGAGTTTGTGGCCGAATAACAGAAATAGTGAGGAAAAAAAATCAATCAAAGAAAACCAGTTCCCTTTTATGATCAGGAGAGGGAATCCCTAAAAACACACAAGGGAAAGTAAACAGGATGATGTTGTAGCCCCCTCACCTGAGACCAGGTACGGACTATGGGCCCAGATTCTTCCTGAGACGAAAATCTACTATCAAATGTTCATGCTTGTGAAACTGTCCTTTAAAAATCTGGTTTTACTTTGTTTTTATTTCCGTTATTCTTAGGCTGTGTCAATAATTACAGATTGCAAGGCAGAGCATTGATTGAAGGCAATAGAACACACTTTAAACAAGATGGGGAATTCAGGCAGATCCCTGCGGAGCAGCCCTGCCTGACTCCCCCCGATCGGAGTTAACACTTAAAGGTGCTTACCTACCACTGACTCCTTTAATTCTCACCAGAGCCTTTTAAAGTAAATACGAATATCCACATTTTACTGAGGGAAGAAACGAGCTCAGTGAGATTACAAAGACAGTGTGTAAATTGGAAAACCAGCTGGAATCCAGGTCTCTGTGGACCCAAACACAACTGTTTAATATTTTCTGTTGCCTGTTCATGTGTAGATAACGTCAGAGCTCATCAAAAGTAAAACAAGGGCAGCCCTAGCCCGTTTGGCTCAGTGGATAGAGCATCGGCCTGCAGACTGAAGGGTCCCGGGTTCAATTCCAGTCAAGGGCACATACCTTGGTTGCAGGCTCATGCAGGAGGCAACCAATCAATGTGTTTCTCACCCATCGATGTTTCTCTCTATCTTTCCCTCTCTCTTCCATTCTCTCTAAAAATCAAATATCCTCGGATGAAGATTTTTTTAAAAAAAGGTAAAACAAGGGTAAATTTGCACTGTAGCATTGAAATTATTTATTGCGGTAATTGTTGGATTGCACAATACAGTACTCAAAAAATAAAAAATAAAAGACTGTAATCTGTGTTCCCGTTACTACTCTACATATACCAGTTCTCCTCTGATAGAATTTTCAAGAATACCAACTGCTGAAGTGCTTTTCTTTCAAAATTTGAATGAATCGTTTTAATTTTTTGAATACATTATTTATGCATAATTAAAGCAGCATCCATTTGGTTTCCTGACTTTCTTTGTCTCTGATTATTTTTCCAGGGTCAACGTCTTTTTGAAAAGCTGCTCCAGCTGACTTCGCAAAATATCGAAATCAAGCTAGTGAGCGATGTGACGGCTGATTCAAAGGTATTAGAAGCCTTGAAATTAAAGGGTAAGGCCAAGGTTGATACGCTACTCTACCTCCGGGTGTTCTGTTACAATACCTTTATTCTCACTTAATATGTAATTTCTTTATAATTAATACATTTCACATAGTGGACTTCTTATGTCTCCTTTGAAAAATGGTCTCAGTACAGCCTCTAGATGAAAGAACTAATTACTCAGTACTGCTGGGACTTTTAATAGTGTTGCTGCATATTAGTTTATGCAAAGTAATCTAGTGGCCATTTAGTGATAATTAACTAGAAAGAAGAAGCATTCCCTCTCTGATCACTTCCATGATGTGATTAGAAAAAAGAGCCACTCTGATCAGAACAGACACTGGAATTCTGTTCCTCTCTTGCTCCACAAATGACAGTTGTCCTCCTGCTTCTCAGAATTTAAAAGGGTGTAATCAAAGGTTTGAATCTGGAAAACTTCCTGATTCACAACTTTTTATTGTTGTTAATCCGTACTCGATTTTTTTTTCCATTGATTTTTAGAAAGTGGAAGGGAGGGGGAGAGACAGTGAGCGAGAGAAACATCGATGTGAAAGAGACACATGGATTGATTGCCTCTCATATGCACCCTGACCACAGGGCAGGGGATGGAGCCTGCAACCCAGGTACGTGCCCTGGACCAGAATCGAACCCACAACCCTTCAGTCTGTGGGCCGGCACTCTAACCATTGAGTAAAACCAGCTAGGGCCTGATTCACAGTTTCATTTTTATTTTTATAATGAACCTTTTTTAAAATATATTTTTATTGATTTCAGAGAGAACGGGAAAGGGAGAGAGAGACAGAAACATTAATGATGAGAGAGAATCATTGATT